CTTAAAAGTAAGCATGCTCAATTACACAAGCATGTCTATCTGACTGAATGGTAGACTGGTTCATTGGCTGACTCAGTGCTAAATGTATGGAACAATTATGATTCATAATTATCTCAGAGAACATGTTTCACAAAATCCAGCAAAGCACAAAGCCCTCCAGCAATCTTGAAAAGCAAACAGCACGGGACCAACGTGATGCAGCGTTCATGAGGAAAGTGCGGGTAAGGCAAGAAAACAACAAAATCGGCACTTTCTCCTCTCCTGTTGAAGCACTGTTCAGCAGCTCAGCCCTACAAATCTGATCTCTGGTGTGAAGTTCAAAGCTAAACGCACTCGCAGCAAACTCTCCTTAAACTTTCAGGGAGAACAACAGAAAGAAGACAAACAGAGGGAAACTACAGTGTGTTCTTCCTCTTTAAGTGACGCTCCTGTGCACACCGTCGTACACCTCTGTGCTACACAGCCTTTTGATAAAATAATCTGCTTACGTTCCACTGCAGATGTGTGTGTGTTTCAGACAAGCACATGGAGGCAGCAGATTTAGAGAAATAATCCTTCATTTTTCAGCAGCAGCTCAGGGATTGGAAGGCAGGGGAGGTTCACCTCACTCAGCTTAATGTGATGTAATGTTTGTGTGTGAGCACAAAAACACTGTCACAGGGATCAAACTGTAGAGATGAGAAGCCAGCAGAGCTTTTCTCAATGTTATGAAAAAGAGAGGTCAGATTGGGTCTCTGGTTGGCCCTGGGTTTTTGATTTGTCCTTCCTGGGGGTCATGTGTGAAACCTTTTACTGTCCAGGACCACAAATCACATCAACCCAAAAAGTCCCTTTGCAACCTGTGCGGTCTTTTCAGAGCGAAAGCTCCCTGTTGAAACTGTGTTAAACTGACTTAAACCTTTCATCATGCAGCACCTCCTCAGATTACAGATTTGATTTTAGGACTGCTGCAACCCACACACGTTTCAAAGCCTTTTGGCTACAGGTACATTTCCTTGAAGATTCCAGAAATCTGCCGTATTGTTCAGGTGAGCTGAGGAGACAGGAGGCATGCAAGGGAGCTACCCTCATGAATGCCACACACAGTCAAAGCATTCACACTTCTTGGACTTCACATCCATGTTAACACTCAGCGAATCAACCCACTTTGGTAAATAGAATAGTTGTTTAAGGCAGTAATTATCAGGTTATGCACTGTTTAAAAATAAATGAATAAATAAGAGAAGACTCGATCATCTGTGAGAATGAGGTCCCAGCATCATTTAGAGAGGAGACGGGTGCGCCAGTAGCAGACCTGCCAGTTCCAGTCCTCTCCATCATGCTGAATGCTGTTGGTCTGTGAGCATCTGTTCCACTGAGGGACATTCAGAACCTCAACTGTGCAACAATCTTGAAATTCCAGGCAGTTATTTTGAAACTTCGTCTGTATTAACTTTAATCACTGAACAAACACAAACAAATCTGTCCTTAAAAAAAGCCTCAGATTTCGCTGACTTCCCCTAAAATTAGGTTTTAAACACCTTTTCCAGTCAAAGTTGAACCAGAGACTCAAAGAATCCTGAACAGGAAAAAAGATACAGAAAACATTTTATAAAACCTTACTTTGGCACAAAGTTAACAAGCATTTTAAGCTGCTTTTAAATCAGTGTTAACTATTCTATACATGCAGTTTTATGATATTATATTCAGGATATTAAATCATTTTGGTAGTGCTCAAAATACAGCATTTTAAGATGGTGACTTTTGCTTCTTGAAAGACTTTGGTTGTACCAGCAGTGCTGCAGCTCTCTCACAGACTTGTGAGTGCAACATCTCATATCTCATATATCACACATACCTCAGCTCTAAGTCAGTTTTTAGTAATGAATTCAAGATGATTTTCAAGCAAAATCCACATAAACCTCTGAATCCATCATCGTCATCATCTTGCACCTCTCAACCAACCAAAACTGTGTTTATTCACCTGCCGTCCACCTCATTTGTTTACAAGCACTCTGCTGCTGACATCTAGTGGCCAAAACTCAAACAACTCCAAAGACACCTGCCACAAGCTTGTTGGTATGCTGCTAAGAAATCTGATGGGCAGAAACTTTTGTGCATCAGCAGCATCGGAGAAGACTCACAGAGGTCAGCTGTTGACATAAGCTTGCTCATAAATGCTGCAGAAATCACCAATACCAACTCCACTTTGTATAATTTTCCTGATTATAATGTTACTCTCTGTAAACGGGCAAGTTTTGAAACCCGACCCCCGTCGACTCTGCAATAGGATGCAGAGAGGAGCCCTTGAAGCCTGCTGAGATCCAGCCGAGTGTCTTGCTGCAGTGCGGAGTGATGCTCAGAATACCAAAAGCTCTGCATCCTGAGCACACAGTGAACTGAGGTAAACGATGCAGCCATTTGTCACCATCGCACTCACACTAATGTGGAAAGATGTGGGGCCTGTTATGCAGAGGCACACTCTGCGTCAAAAACAATTACACAAGCACTTCCATTAACAGCCAAAGAGGCAAGACTGTAGAGAAAAAAACAACTGTTTCCCACCAGGAGGACAAACAGCGGGATCCTAATTTATATGATTATTTCTCCAAGAACCAAATAACAGGGCAACAATGACATCTTCTATTATATATGGGCAAAAAGAAACATTAAAATAGTCTGAGAACATATCCCAAGCTGCAGTAAACAGTGTACACTGTGTGTACTACTTAGTGAGCATCCTGGACAGTAAAGTACTGGCAGTCAGATTAAAGAGCAGTAAAGTTATTTTACTGTGGACCTGTTATCTGCAAAAACAGTCTGTTACTGTAGAAGATGAACAGTAGGAAGGGCAATAAATTACTGTCAACCAAATGTTGTATAACACTTTTCATGCAGATTAGTGCAGAACAAACAGCACAACATGAAAATATGCAGTAAAAAGCAACTCAGTATCAATGAACACGAAGAAAAATTAAAGAATACAATAATTTTTAAAAATCGCCTACAAGTCTAATAAGAACACCTCAAATAAACTTGAGAACAACTAGAATATAGCATGAATTCGGCCACTTGTCTGTCTTGTTTATGACCATATATCAGTGTTTTTCCTTTTGCAGCACACAGTTATGCAATCTTGCTGTATGCAACCTTTTAACAGCTACTCTGAATGCGGGCTGTAAGTTTCCTCCACAGGGGGGGTGGGCTGGGAGGCAAAATGATGAAGCTGTAAACTGATGTAGGGCTAACAATCTGCTGTAACGCCAATTATGAGGCTCAGAGGGAACAGCAGTGTTTTGCTGGCCTCAGTGCATCTCTGCACATACACTGGGTGATGAGGGAGGAGTTTATTTTCCGCTTCAAATCCTTGAATCATGCAGGGAAAAGGAAGAGAATGATTTTTCCAGTTGTAATCCACAATTAGTGGACAGAAGTAGCAAAAAAGTGTTCAGTTAGAAACATGGGCTCTGGGTCTGGGTGCTAGAAACGTCCCCCGGCTCTCTTTCTCTGGAACCTTTGTGAACACTTTACTAATAACTTTGTGATCTCTATAGCTTGTTTCAGATCACCAAAAAAAGTTCATTTTGTAAATTACACTCACTCCTCCAGCCTGAAAGCAGGATTGTCCAGGTGATGCTCATTGGACAACGACTTGTTAATCACAAGTGATCATCCAATGAGCGTGCAGAGTCCTTGGCTTCAGTCACATCAAAGCCTCACTTTTCGCATCTAGTTTCAAAACACCAAAATGGCGACAACGAAAACGTTGAATGCGAGGCTTCAAACAGGACTTTAGTAACCAATGAGTGGCATCACATGTTCACTTATTTAGTTTTTTCTTATTAGGGCAAAAAAGCCGATGGTAGGTTGACAAGATGCATGAGCTAACTAAATACACCAAATGTATATCAACACATAACAACCACAACAACTAAAGTGTGTAACACAAAATAACAACAATAACTACCACATCATTTTCAAATTAATGGTTTGAATATGAGCAGTTACAGTCCAATGAGTCTGTTAAGCTAGCCCGAGAAAAACTACTGTAAAAAAACAAAACAAAAAGTGCTAAAGCTTTATTAGAAGTCAGCGTATAAAATGCAAAAATGATTGAAACCAAAGGTAAATGCAATAGAAAAAGAACTTTTATTTACAAAGTGTAAACTTCCAGCAAAAATCAACTCCTTAAAATGATACAAAAATACATCCAGTCTTTATTTTCAGTATTTACATGTGTGAAAATATGACACAAGACCGCTCCGGTAACAACCGACCATACTGATATTTATGCAGAATTAAAATTTAGAGTCCTCAGCGGACATATACATCCATGTTTTCCATATAACATCTTAATTTAACTATAAATAATTGAAATATATGAGAACTAGTTGAGTGCTGTATAGTGCTTAGTTTAATTTTTGGCACATTGTGAAATATAAGAGAAAATCATTACATGGCTGTGATGCAACCGACACAGGAGATATTTCTGAAGATCTTTAAAAATACAAGCTAAACTTTTATTTATATTTTGTTAGTTTTTAAAGGAGAATGAGCACCGTCTTGTTATCAAAAGAAAATGATCAAGTTTTCCAAATTAGCAGCACTACAGTAAACGTTCAGCTTTAAAACGTGACTTAAAATCCATCCCTTCATCGATACAGCTCGAAAGGAAACATTAGTAAGAAAGAAAACTTTCTATTTATTAAAAAACAAAAGAAAGAAAATATGGTAAACATCTCTACATGGTGGGAAAAATGACAAATTAAATATGTTACTACTGCTTTAAAATGATGATCATTTGGATGTTTAGAGATATGAACACGTTAATCATTTCAGGGGAAATCCAGACTGCCAGAATTCATTTTTTACTCATCATTTAAAGAACAAGACCTAAACTTTTAGTTAAAACCCCTGAACACAATGTGCAGGAAAACAACCGCCTGCTGGGGTTAAGAAATGGGACGCGCCACCATGCAGCAGGAAAAACAAGAAAAGCTTTAACATAATTACTTTTTCCTGCATGAACAAAAAAAATAAATTAAACTAAGAAAAAAAAATGTTATTTTAGAAAGATACCTCTCCTTACGCTTCAAGCTCCTCCCACCACATAAGCATCCCCACTCTCTCAGGTGAAAGTCCTCTGCACAAAGCCATTTAGCAAGTGGGTCTCATTTCATAAGCAGACTTAAACATTTTGCCACTTAAAGATGGGGCATTTTTGGAGAAAACATCACAAAGTATCATTTAAGTGGTTCAACGGGGATTTAGGCTCCTCCTCTACCTTCTGTTTGTTTTTCATCCCATAACAAGACATGAAAAGTAATAATAGTATAGATGGGTAGAAATAGTATCAATATTTTAATCACAAAAAATAGAGAAAAATAAATATTGTTGTAACTCCGTGAAGCAATCAGTATGAAATCATTAATTTAACTTGCAGCCACTCTTGGAGAGGACTTGAAAAGGGTTTTCCCTTTTAATAATAAAATCACATGCTGAATTAAACACCCCAGCATTTAATGTTCATCCTGTTTTTGTTGTTTATGTGGGGAAGAAACTGCAGATTCCTTGAACATTCCTACTTTCCTCAGTGGACCTGCAGCGCTTCAGCACCAAATGCGGAAACGAGCGAGGAGAGGGAGATGGTCCGATGAGTGCCGATGGTTAGGCAGGCCGTTGACTTCCTCGAGCTCCGCTTGGCCGACCAATGACAGCCTGCCCAGCAGCTGGAGGCCCCGCCCACCTGGAAGTGAGGGAGGTGGAACGAAATCTTTCAGAGAAAAAGGACAGAGGGAAAAGAGAGAAACTGAATTAAAGAGATTAAAGATTAAAGAAGAAGCAGAAGGAATTCAGAGATAGTGGCTTCCAGCAGGTATTACTTAATACAGCTTTAAGATCTTACTGTTTGAAAAGTCACCAGTGACGGTATGGTAACATAAAGACAAATAAATGAATTAACCCATAAAAAAGTAGGAAATCGACTCCATTTAAACAGCACATCTTATTTTTAAGCCACTCCAAGCAGAGAAACAACAGTCACCCTTTCACATTAACTCATACAGAAGTTTTTTATTTCTCACGCCTCTGTCACACAGTTTTGAGGGTTCAGTGTCAACAAAGGACATTTGGATATGGAAGCTAAAAACAGCCATTAAGGCACATTCAGTAGCAGTAGTGAAAGGGTTTGTACATGTAAAGGATTTAACAGCCTGCTCAATCTATTAACAGCCTTTTAGAGACATTTGTTCCCAGACGGACCCATGATCATCTACAGAAAGCGTATTATTGCCAATATAGACGCTTACAGCAATTAAAGGAAATGTACCTATCTTTAAAGTCTGAGATTTTAAAAGACTTAAATACTAATAGAAATACTAAAGAAAATCTGACCTTTGTGTGTTTGTGTGTGTGAGAGAGCGTACCGGGACTATACAGGATGTAATCCACTGTCAGGGCCGTGCGGGAGTGACAGGTGGTGATCTCAGGTCTCCTGTCAGGCATCAGGTGATGTTGATAAGACGACTGCAGCTTCAGGCTGTGCTCGATCCTCCACGCTCTGCATACGCGTGGTTAGAGAGAGTTTGTCCATTTTTATTATGGCGACAACCAGCTTTTCAATTACTGAGAACTAAAAAGGCAGAAATGAAAGGAGGAGGGAGTGACGAGAGAAGGACGGCGAGACTTTACCTGCTGAATTCATAAGCAGCTTTGGCAGCGAGATCCTCCACACTGAGATTAGAGATCGCTCCCTCTACAGCTGACGGAGAGAAAAGGACAGGCGGTTGTTAGTGACGAGGTTCAACACACTAATCGCTAAACTCTATTAACATCTCTCAGGCAAACTGGCGACAATCCAGGACAACATGAGTAACTTTCTAAGCAAAGTCTGAATAAAAGATTAAACAAATGGAGATCAAAGTCAAACCTGCCTAATCACGTGCTGCACTGTGAAGTGGATGTTAAATTAAATGCAGGTTAAACTTTGGAGGCCTGAATTTTTCTAGACATCATCCGATAGAGAAGCACGCATAATTACACTTATTATTTTAAGTACATACATATGTTCATACCGACAAAAAATGGCTATCTGGAGTATACCAGTACAGGCATGATGTATTCATAATGGTCAGAAAATTGGAAGTGGATGGTTGGACACTTTGTGTCCTCAATAGCTGAAGGAGAGGAGAAAAAAAGCAAACCATTGATACAGTTCTATATTATTAGAGGATTCGCTATATTTTGATTTCTAATAAAGTCCTTTGAGACAGAGCTAAACGCAGCCACAGGGAGTCCACGAGCCAGTGCACTACTAGCACCAGTCTGAGGCCTGGATAAACAGGCAGGGTCGAGTCAGGAAGATCATTCAGTGTAAAATCATCGAGAAGCAGCTCTTCGACTTGAACCATTTCTCACACTTTTTGCACACTAAGCAGCTGATTATGTAGCGTGCACAGTGTACGACTGGAAGTGCTTTCAGACACCTTGCGTCTTTAACCTGCCAGCTCACGAGCACACAGTGATGTGGGATTTCTGACAGCACCGTATGAGAAAAGAGCAGAAACTGCAAGTGGTCGTCAACTATCCTGCCGGCAGCTCTCTCACGTAAACCAGGCACGATATGCCCTGAAGTGCAGCTGACGCAAACCGACTCCCACTGTGCTCTAAGTGTGAGAAACCACCTCTCTGAACAACGAGCCAGCTGGAATCTTTTGACTTTTTCCAGAATTCTTTTGAGAAAACAGCTTTTCCAAAGTTTACCTGTAGGGCTGGTGGGCGAGGTCTCAGCACTAGGTTTGTTTTCATACTGGCACTGATGGGTTATTCCCAGGCTGGGAGACCAGATTGGAGACATGAGGAGACGCTGACCTCTGGGACTGTTTTCCTGACCTGACACCTACACAAACACCCAGAAAAGAAAAGGGGGAAAGAAAAACAAAACGGATAAGTGAGTGTTGGGGATTGAAGCATCGAGTATTTCTTTTTTTGATGAGTGGGAAATGGACACTGTGAGGCGACAGAAACCAGGCAAAAACAAATTGGATTTACTGAACTGAAAACCACAGATGACAGTTTTGCATGAATGACCATCAACGACCAGAATGTCTACTAACTATAAGTTAATTGATCAGTTTGTGAGTGGCACAATATTCTCACCATGCCAATCTGCATTCCACTATACTGCAGGCAGCCTGTGGTCAGGAAACTGTACAGTGGACTCCAGGGAGCAGAGTTAAAATCCCCACATAAAACCACTGGGTTAACCTGCCCGTTTGGGAGGCGGGACAGTCGGTTGATCTCAGCCAATAAGATTGCCAGCTGGGCCAGTTTGATGTCACCTCGCCGGGGGTTGTAGAGAAGGTGGGTGTTGGCGACACAGATGAATGAGGAGGGATTTAAATGACTGAAGCTCTTGTCAGGTCGCAACAGCACAACCAATCCCACGTTGTCTCGGTCGAGGAGGGTGTCGCCGGGCCGGAAAAACTCGACGGGATTGGAGGAGAGGAGGGAGAAGCGGGAGGTTTTGAAGACAACGGCACAACCGTCTGGTTTCTTTCCTGTCCGCTTTTTATACTCACAGTGATAACCTGACAAACACACACAAAGATGGGTTATTATATTAAAAATATCATGAATAAATGACAAAGAAATATCACAGACAGAAACAATCAAATTATATCAAATTTTACCACAGCAAAAAGGCCTTAAACCTGGGCTGGCTCTTATATATTGCTTTTCCCACCAGCTCAGCATGCTTTATATAACATTTCAACCTCAGAAAACACTTTAATGATGAGTTTTCAGATCCATCTGAAGTAAAATAACCAATAAAGCAGGTTGTGAATTAGGGTGCGACAGTGAAACTGAGTTTGTGATCAGACTCACAACTCAGAAGATCGATTAAAAAAAAAAAGAAATTAAATGAAAGGAGCAAAATGCTCGAGTCTCGACTCCGAAAAGCAGTGAGTGGCAATAACGTCGCTTTACCCATCTTTAATATACAGTCTGTTTGCACTAGTTAGGGAAGATTTATCTGTCTTCACTTTTTTTGTCTTTCACTTTTAACGGCCCTCCCAAGCACACACATGTACACACAAAAATGAGCAGCAGTACCTAGTGCCTGGAGAGCAGGCTTAATCTGGTTTTCATAGTGGTCCTCCTGCACTTCCTGAAGACACAGGATCTAAAAAAAAAAACAACAACAACAAAAAAACCTCTCATAAATTTATGATGAAGAGCCAAAAGTATATGGACACGTTTACCAACACCCTTCTGTGCATTTTGCTGTTTTCTGGTGGTTTGCAACTCCTATTAATGATGCGGAACAATGACTTTGAACCACTGTGTGTTACAAACTCTGTGGCAACAATTTCACTTCTGCTTTAAATGGGCTTAATCGATACGTTAATGTCAACTCCAATAACCTAGGATAAAGGATCAGATAAAGGATCCAGTGCAGCCTATAAGTTTTGATAAGATGAGTAACAAGATATTTAAAAGATCAGGATGCACAGCCTGTAACTTGTGATGGCCAAACTCCTAACAGGTCTTACTGAATGTAACTCTCTAAACTTAAGCACAACAGAAGTAAAAGAGAAGAGTCATCATTACAAGTGGAATGAATAAACTCTCCCCAAAAAATGAACACTTGATTAGTTTAATTGCCAGTAACCAGTAGATAATATGTTCCTTTTATGGCCCAGCCCAGGTTTACCACTGAACATCAGGGCAAAACTTCCTCCTGAGACCATTAAACTATACGTATTAATACGTTTTATGACACTGCATCCCCTCACATCAGCATTGTGGTGCTGGATCTCTGCCAGTAGGTTATGCAGTCGGTATTCCCAAGGCAGGACGTCCGGGTCACAGTGTCGGTACAGGTAGGCATTGTCCTCCAGGAGCTGCTGGGAGAGGATGTTGTAGGACATCACCGAGAAGTCAAAGACTGAACTGTCGCCTGGTGGGTGGAGGTCAGTGCTGCAGGACTCCCAGTGTCTTTGAAGAGCTGAGGAGAGATGAGACAAATGGAGAGCTGGAAATATAATCTCTAAATATGAAGAAATAGAATCTGCAGCCAGTAGACAAGAATTAGCCATTTCTGTGTGCAATTTGCTTTTAGTCTGAATTGTATTGACCAGTTAATTACACTGAAACAGGCACCGTCTCCATGCAGGTTCACAGCCTGTTTTGAACACAAAAGTAGGATTGAATCTGTCAAAATGTCCATTTCCAAACCACAGGCCAGATTGCTGTTCTGGTCTTTGACATGATTCAGCTGCTTTCCCCAAAAAGGGTTCCCACTGTGGGACAGACAGGACCTCCACCTTTGCTTTTACTTGGACTTTTTCAGATTTAGATTGCTCTGTGGAGGGAAAATTTCCTAGCTGATCTCTTAATGGAGACTCTGCTTCCAACATGTTTTCAAGCAGCAGAAAAGACACATCAAAACTGTAATTATACTTAACAAAAGGACTCACATTTCACAGTCCTTCTTGGTGGAGAGGGCTGCGTGTTTCCTCCAGGTACCTGCCCCAGGTTTGAGGGGCAAGTGGTGCTGCGAGGCTGCCCTCCATCACTACATCCATCCCTCTGCTGCTCTGAAGTCCCTTTTGTGTCCCTGTGAGGCCCATCCAGCTCCTGAGACCCCCTCCCTTTGAACCATTGGTTGGGTTTGTGCATCACTGGCTGTGATTCTTTATGTCCTTCTTGCTGATGATGATGATGATGACGATGATAATGATGATGATCTCTGTCTGCACTCTCTCTTCGCTGTCTGTCTTTAGTCTCACTTTTAGTCCTTTCCACATTTTTATCTCTGCTGGTTTCCCCTCTGACATCTTTCCCGACATTATTCTTCACTCTGTCTTTAGTTCCATCGTTGAAGTGGTGACTAGATCGAAGGCTGCCATCTTTTCTGGAATCTAGGTGATGGTGCTCCCTCTTGGACCCTCCCTCCTTACCCTCTGTTGCTCCTCCTCTGGGTCCCTCCTTTTCTTTATTTTGTTCTTTTCTTTCCTCTCCACTCTTCCTCCGTTTGTAGGGCGGCCCTCTGTCTCTGTCGGGGAACTCCATCAAGTGGTCTGCAGAGGTGTGGAATGAGCGGCAAGCACCAAAGTCACCAAGGTTGATGTTCAGGGGGTGTAATGCCCTGTGAGTGAAAGATTCAAGGGCAGACGGGTGGGAGTGGGGAAGTCGAGAAGGCCAGGGTGGAAACCCTGGCACCGACCACCATGGATGAGGGGTGGGAATGAATTGGGGAAGGAAGGAGGACGCAGAGGAATCAGTGTTGCTCTTGAAGCGGGCCTGGGAAAGAGCAGGAAGACTGCAGGGTGGGAAAGATGAGCTCAAAGAGCTCAGCCGGCGAAGGAACATGGGATGACTGGAGGGAGACATTAGGGGGGGAAAAAATCAATACACGGAGCCGATGTCTGCAGGTTCTCAGTTGTGAGAATTTGCTATTTTTACATCCATATGTCTTTTATCTAACTGCAGGTTAGATTAAATGATAAAAAAAATTTCTGCCAGTTAGATTTAAGGATAACTTATTGTCTGAAATAACACGATGAGAGAATGATCTAAGTGGAGGCAAAAATTACTTTCAAAACCATATATTTAGTTTAAAATCGCAAAAATAACTGGTAAAAAGCCCAGGGGTGTCCAAGAACATGTTATCAAAACTGTTATATGAACTCTTCATTAAACATGCAACTTTCTAGCTGCTTTGTTGAAATGACAGCTACCAGAAGCAGCGATGGCTAAGCTAGTTGCTAACTACCTGCTGCTTCCCTGGTTGTTTTGGAGCACTTCTAGTTAAAACTGATGTGTGTTTAAATGTGGATTACACAACAAACGAGTAGGCGAATACTAAAAGGACGAATCACCAATCAGAAGTTGACGTTGCGTTTGTTATAAATGATTTCAACCGCATTGAAAATTAACAGAACTCAAACACTGTGATTCGTTTTTAACCCGGAGCTGCTAGCTCACGTCGACTTACGTGTCGTCATCGGCGACTTTGTTTAAGCCTCAGCTTGGGTGCATTTTCAGACACAACGAGATAACAGGATGGAAGTTTTGACCTTTGAGTTTGAATCTGCAGTCAGATCAAGACAAGTCGAGTCCCCGAAATCCTACGTAACTAAACGTAAAAACAAAGCGCGGAATGAGGCGTTGGCTTCATGTACCGTCAGTATTTTCGTCAAATCCAACAGGTACAACATACGGCGCAGATTTTGTGTGCTAACGTACCAGTGTAGCTACAAAAAAGGTGTGTCAAATATTAAAGAGTGGGATGACAGCTAACGAAACAAACACTCCGCTTTTACAGAGGAATCTTGCTCTTTGCCAAAGCTGGTAGCGCAACTCCCAACATTTTCAAGGCTACATAAATGCATCACCATCACTCTCGCATGCGTCTCTTTCTCGCATGCGAGATGTTGTTTCTGGATGTTGTAGTCTTTTACCTGAGTTAGTTAACAGTGAGTGATATGGTTCAAACTATTGAAGGTACTACAGACAACCGGGTACGGTGCGGAAAGTGGTCCGGGTGCAACGTAACTTACCATTGCTTATACATTTTTATCGAGCGCATTATGAAATGTCACTTCAAACGTTGAGGTTATCAGTTATAAAAGCGATAGCGACTCATTATTAAAGAAACCCGTGAATTATGTCAACAGCTAGGATTCTTTATTGAAAGCGCCGTGAATGAAGAATTAAAACAAAGGTCATTGTACTTACGTAAAAGCGAGCCTCTCGAAGACAGCGGTGTCGTTTAAAGCCTCTTTAAACACAAAATGTCAGCTTCCAGTCTGTGTCATTTTCTGTTATAATGCGTCGTTGAAATCTGAAATAGAGCTGTCTTGTGTCGGAGTAATAGTTTGCTGAGTGTGGCTAGAGAAGCAGTGGTTTGTTAGAGCTGAGGAGTGGGCACAGAGGCAATGAACGGTATCTCTCTCTCTCTGTGTGTGTGTGTGTGTGTGTGTGTGTGTGTGTGTGTTTGGACAAACAAACCCTGCCTCGTTCCAGTTTTGTTCCCCAGTTTTCACAAATGAAGAATTTTCTAGCTAATTTTCAGATTTGGAGTACTATGGTGTCAGCACAAAAATCGTCCCCATGTGTATATTCACAGAATTTCTTTGAGTTACATGAAGGCTCGTGTAAACGGACGGAGAGCCTAATGATGCATTTAAAACTCGAAAATCTGGGCAGTACGGACCATTGTGTGTTGACAATGGTCTGTGTTCATGACAAGAAACTTCTTAAAGCAGACAAAGAAACTTAAACCAAACAGAATCAGAATCCTTTTGTCATGAATTGTTTAATTGTCATTAAACATCAAAGATTCAATGAAATTAGAAGCAGCTACATGGTAGTAGCATTTAGAATAAATTAGAAAAAAAACCCCCAATAAAAACAAAAATACCAACTATAAAACTATACAAATGTACAGGGGTTATATAGATCCGAAAGCGGGCGCACGTGTGTGTTGTATGAGTGTGAGCAGTACTGATGTGTGAGTTTGTGAGTTTGGCTGGGGTGCACGTGTGTTCAATACAGCGATGGTTCATGGAAAGAAACTGTTCGTGAGTCTGCTAGTCTTGGTTTGGATGGACCTGTAGAGTCTCCCAGAGGGCAGCAGATCAAACAGGTGGAGGTGGGATGGAGGATGGGTGGAGTCTTGTGTGATTGCATTAGCTCTGCAGCAGTAGTGGGATGTATAGATGTCTGCAACCGAGGGGTGGGGGCAGCTGATGAACTCCTGCACTGTGTTGACCTCTTCCACTCATCCTGGGAGCAGTGTGTGAACCACACTGTGGTGCAGTATGTGAGGATGCTCTGGATGACTGAGTGATGGAGGTCACCAGCAGCTTTGCAGAGATGCTGTTCCTTTTGAGCACTCTCAGGTAGGAGGTGGAGGTGTTTGCAGCCCAGGAGAGGTCAGCAGAGAGGTGGGGGGTGTAGACAGGAAGGGTGGCCTTTATGTGCTTTAAGACCAGCTGTTCCAGGGACTTAGTGATCACAGGTATGAGTGGATTGGGGTGGAAGTTGTTGAGGCTGTTTGTAGATTATTTTTTGGGTACAGGAATGATTAAAGTGGACTTTGAGTGTGAGAAGAAGGTGTTTAGTTCTTTTGTTAATGCATGCTCAGGTCCACAACTGTGTTGGACTGCCCCCTGAATTTGGTAATATGGTGGACCTAAAAGCAGATTTGCGTGGTTTGAGGAGTGTTTTGACATGACTGTTCATCCAGGGCTTCTGCTTTATGTGACGCTGATGTAGGACAGAACAGCCAGTGTGTGAACAGTCAGGTCCTCACTGTCAAAGACACTCTTAGTTATAAAGGATGTACAACTGGTTATAAAGGTGTGACCTTCAAAACCAGTTGGTTCATAAGATAAACTGATTTCTGTTGAAGTTAAACACAGAGCTTTCACAACCACAGCTGCAGATCTCAAAGGAAATACCCTTGTATTTCTGAAGCTAATATATGACACCATACTTGCATTATAAACAAACATGAGGCTGTGTAATTCTAACCTGTTTCTGCAGTACTTTAAAGCCCTTAAATTTAATGAATTAATATAAAGTCTACTGTGAGGATGCACGATCACAAGAAAATGTGCCATAGTCCAAACATGGACCTAACTGTGTAAAGGGTAAAACATAATAAAAGATTAGTTGTAGTTTTGTAAATATTTTGAGCAGCACCGTGTTTGCACCAACAGCAGCTCACAGTTTGCACAATAAGCATGTCAATAAAATAGAAACAGCCATTATAAAAGCTTTATTCAGGATTCAGGAATCAAACAGGATATCAAACTGATGCTGAAGATGTCAAACACATTATGTAACTGAACCGCAAAGAAGTTCTACAATTTTTAAAAATCATTGTGTGAACAGACAGAGAGGCGATTTAGAGAAGACTTGCAGTTAACATCAGTTTGGATTTTGACTCTTCCCACAGGTTTGAGCTCCACCAGCCCAACCTCGTGCCCATTCAGAGTGCTCAGAAATAATCTCAAGTAGGAGAAAAACAAAAGGTTTGGTTGCATCATAGCACACCTCGAGAGTGGACACATTTATTAAAATAAACCCTAAATAGCATCATTTTTATTAATTTACCAAACTTGCCTGATAAATATCAATACTTTGTAATTATGGTGAAAAAATCTCATTTGTGTATAAAAAGTCTCACATGCACAGCAGCTGTGTGAAGCAGCTGCTTCATTTGGGCAACAGGAATCAGAAATTTGCTGATTTGATTTACCAGCATGTAGATATTCTGACATGTGCTGCATTCATGCTGTTCTTCCTCTTACATATTTTTTTCCACTGTGACTGTTTGTCCATATTTGCACCTGTAGCTCTGTCCTGTCTGCTTTCATGCTACATCCTGTAGTTAAGCCAGGGCGTGCTCTAAATTTCAGGTTTTGTGTTACCTAATGTGACTCCCCTCATTGTTTATTTCTTTCCTTTTCATCCTCTTCCTCATATTTCTGCAATCAAAGCTATTCACATGGCCAAGAGAGCTGCATGAGGCCAAGTTTCAATGGGGAAGTTACAGTCATTTAAAGAACCCATTAAAATGCTCCATCCACTGTGCAAACCCTATAACACTAACAATATGGGAATTCTAGCAGTCCCAGAGTAGGCAGCCTTGGTTGGCGTACAGAAACTACTCTAGATCTAGACTGTGTTTAGGTGCAAAGCTTTCTAAAAGTCAGCATTCCTTTTCCCATTTCTTAATTTTTATTTGGTAAATGGTAAATGTTTTGGCATATTTAAATAGCGCTTTTCTACTCTGAGCACTGAGCAATTCTAGTCATTTAAGGTGGCTTTGCATCATTCATAGTTCAAAATAATCTTTCTTTATCTCATACTTGGTACAGCTCCTAAGTTCATCCTCTCTGAAACAGGCCATTTTAGTTCCTGTTCCTTTAAGGCCACCCACCCTTTAAGCCTATGTTTCTTAAAGTGTGGGGCAGGTCCTGTAGGTGGGGCACAGAGCCACTGCAGGTGGGACACTGTCAACCTGGTGAAAAATATGAAGTGAAACTGGGTTTGCTTTTACTAGGCAGAGTGTACAAAAATAGTTAGCTGATGCTGCTGCACTGACCTTTAAAGGTCAACATTAGAGGAGTTGTACCTCACACAAAGATCCTTTGTTATCGTTCATCCTCGTTTTTTTTTTAAACTCTTGAGAGTGTTGCGCTTCTAAAATGGGGCATATGCCACAAAAACTAGGAGCTGCTGTTGTAAGCTTACTTTCTTCTGATTGGCTGCCCCTTGCAAACAGAAGGTTTGAACAGAAGATGGGTGGGGCTTTTGTGCTCACTTTAGGAATATTCCTAAATATTCCTCTCTCACTGACATCACAAAGAGCCTACCGTTGAAAAAAATGGTATGAAACGGAGCATTTAGAGCAGGGTGGAGCCAGAGCTTTAGGATCACAGGGGTTACTTGTACATAAAGTGTTCTCATAATTGAGAACCTCAATAACTGAGACTATTCCCAAAGCAGTAAATGAAAGCTTAAGCCAAGCAACAAAACAAACAAACAAACAAAAACCTTAGGATATATTCCAGACTGGAGATGATTGCATCCCGCTTGGTGTGACAGACTAAAGATTTCACATTTTGTGCTGTTTACTGGGACTTTACTTTGGTGAGTTTCTGGTTAGATCCCAGTAAGAAACCGACTGGGATGCTGCAGTAAAGACAGTGACAGGTATTTGACCAACTGAAATAAAACCTCGAGCTGTGCTTGGTTTTAATTTCCAGCTTATTAAACATCCTTTAAAAGCAGATTGCAAAAGACACAGGAAACATTCTATGATTGTTATTTTTTGTTTGTTTTTTTTGTCCATCTCAGCTATTTGAAAGTTCTGGGTTTTAAGGTGCACTTGGTTTTCACTCTCCAATACAGACACTTGAATCTCCAAACCACACAATTTTCCGGCGTCTCTTGGAGCAACATTATTTCAAACCAGTGCAGCTCATAAATAAATCAGGTTTTTATACCTGAAAGGTCTGCATTTCTTTTCATGCTACAAAGACCCATAAAAAAGTCTTCATCAGCTTTCTATTCAGATATCCTCGATGCAGCACTGTGACATGATTGCTCATGCATGGTCAGTGTGTGAGCAGCATTCTCTCTTTGAGTTGAGGGATGAGTGTGACAGGGCACATTTTTTAAGAGGGAGTAAAGGTCACATGGTCAGGGGTCAGGAGAAGGGGACTTCCCATCTTTGCGTGTATGCGCTCAGTTCACAGGGGCTGATCACCAACATTCGGGAATCGTCCATCCCGTCCAGAGCCATCTCCGAGTCCAGGCAGAACCGGGAGACGAGGTGCTCCAAGTGAGTCCCTGACTTCTGCCACCGCTGCATCAAAAATGAAGAAAAAAAACATTTAAAAAGTTAAAAACAAACGTTTAAAATCTTAACTACTTTATCATCTCATGTAAATTAGAAAACAAAACATTTACTGGTTAGTGTGGAAAACATACCACAAATAAGGAGTCCAAAAATTAATTTTTTGTTGTTGTTGCTGTGCTTCATTTTTTTTTTTGCTCACTATTGATCCAGCTGCTGTACTGCAGTCAAGAGCTGCTCGGAGGATCTAATGAATGCAGAAACCTGCAGCAGCTGTGAAAAGGTCTTCAGTCATGCTCTGCTGAGCAGGTGTATTACTGTATGACCGCAGAGAAATATGCTGAGAAACACGAATCTGACAATGACAGAGCTGATGTCACACTCTTTCGCATAAAAAAGAAAATGAAAAGAAAACGTTTTTTAGGGGTTACACCTGCACACACGGCACTGAATGGCAGGCCTCGCTCAAGTCACTGAAGTAATTTAGAAAGCATGGAATATGCAGGCTATACAGCCGCCACCGAATCTAACAATACACCAACATAACATCTAAGAAAAAAAAACAGGATGCTTCAGCAGAAATCCCCAGGAACCGCACGCCGCACGATGACCACCAAACAGAGGTTAGCGCCACAATTCTCATCCGTCGGACCTGTCGGAGAAGCACGCTTCACTGAATCCTGAACGCTGTTATTGGTGATCAAATCTTTACTTTCAGAAGTGCATGTGTCTGCAGATTTTACAAGTATGAAAAGTGCAAATTTTCACTGATTTATTGTCATATATATCCTCCATCCAGCTGGGTCATGTTCTCCCTGTGGATGTGTGGGTTTTAGTGGGACTCATGACTCGGGCTAATTGGTGATTCTAAACTGGCCTTAGGTGTGCATGGCTGTGCTCTTGGGTGTACTCAGCCTCTCACACTCCTATAGCTGAGTTGGGCTCCAGCCTGTCTATGACCCATGTCCATATAAGTGATTAGGATCTTACAATGGTAAAATATTCTTCCAAAAATCACTTCTAAGTTGTGCCAAGCTCAACTGCTGTTAAAATGTTCATGACAAAAGAAAGTAATTTAAGTAATCCTAATAATAAAAACAAATCAAACACTGATTCAGGCTCCCTGGTGGAGTTATTAAATGTGCCAGCTCAATAGCTTACAACTGCTTTCACTGATGATATTTGTTCCCTTTTTACTCAAATAATACTTCAATAATTTTTTGTATTGTTTGATTGGAATCATTCAGACTAATGTTAAAAGCTGTGTTTTTGTCAGGAGCGAAATTATTCTCACCTTTAATATTCATTAAAATCATTTTCTACAGTTGCAAAGTGACTAACATTTTTCACATGACTCCACCAACTTTACTTGAAGCCACCTGGTAATAAAAACATATTTATGGTTGTACTTCCACATCTAATTATACTCTCTACATTTATTGATTAAAAGGTAATCATAAATTCTGACTGCTTTCAGATTACAATGGACAGCATGTGATTCCCCACAGTCACCACTAGATGGAGAAGTCTCCTGACTTTTTCAACAATCCAGTGGCTCTTTGACCAGACAGACACTGTGTGTGTGTGTGTGTGTGTGTGTGTGTGTGTGTGTGTGTGTGTGTGTGTGTGTGTGTGTGTGTGTGTGTGTGTGTGTATTATTCATAGCTGGATTCTTTAGCTGTGAAACAAAGCAGTAGATATGATCAGACATGAAGAGAGGCTTTTATCTAGCAGTGGGTCTGAAACCCAGCCATCTGAGACAGACAAAGAAAAACAGAATAAAAGATAAAAGAAGAGAGACAAAACGAGGGAAAAATAGAAACTATTTGTGTGTGTGTGCCATTTGTGTGATATCTGTATCTTTGTGTTTCATAATTTGCACGTTTGTGTGGTTATCTCCTTGTATCAGTGTTTTTATGCTTACGTTGGCTCGGAGCGGCCATGTTGTATTTGCTGAGCCTCTGAAGCATATCACTGTCATGTATCTTGATCTCATGAGGCATTGTAAAGACACACACACACAGTCACACAGACCCACACACACACAAATCAGCTTTGTTCTGTAGAAGTGCATTGTGGGTCTGCTGCGGCATTGTCAAGATGACATGCCCATCAGAGTACAGCGACGGGCCGCCGAGATTTTTAATTGAAAAAAAAAGACGGAGGGATAATTAAAAGTAAATTAATTAGTATTCAACTCATTAGTGTCGGCTCCAGCAGACTATAGAGAGTAACATGTTGCGTTGGTCTTTCTCTACACATCACTGTCTCTCTTTTAAGTACTGCACATTAAAGTTCATAAGCCTTTTGTTGCCTTTCAGGATGACTCAAGGGAGATGGGAGTCTTTTACAACCTGGTGAACAACACAGGCTGAAATGAAATCACCTTTCTCCAGGAATCTACAGGTATCAAAATACCCTGGTAAGAGACTGTACATTAAAGATGGATGTAGCCACTGTGTCATAAGGGTGGAAATGGAAATGATCGTATTTGTACGAGAGGGTGAGAGCAAAGTCACCAGCTAGAAAGTTTAACTATAAAGCTTCATTTTTATTATATTTTATTGCACAAAAGAACAAGAGCGAGATAACAAAGTGCAAAATGCAAGAATCTGCACAGGGAGTATGCTGAACTTGTCTCATTAGAGTCCACCGGAGGCTGAATACAGCAGCTGTAAAAGTAATACAGTCAAGTGCTACTTCTGCATCTAATCAGCTATAAAACACCTTGAAAAAAGTTTTTGGCTCTAAATAGAAAAGGATAAGGATGCTTTCAAAGATTCACAGCAAACAGGAAGCGACACTGAAATAATAAATCTGCAGGCACACCTGCTTGGCAGGTGGTTTTGTTTTGAGCATCTTGGAGGACATGCCACAGATCTTCTGTGAATTCAGGCTGTCTCACTGTCTCTTTGTGAAAACGCAGACCGGCTCCATGATGATAAGATCAGCGCTCTGTGGGGGCTAAACCATCTGTTGGAGAACTCCTTGTTTTTCTTGTGGCTGAAAATAGTTCTTTATGACTCAGGCTGGATGTTTGGGCTTGTTGATGTGCTGCAGAATGAATCTGGGGCTGATCACTGATGAGCCTCAATGATGGATTTGCAGGAAATATATCTGAACATCTAAAGTGCACCACTGCACTTTCTTATCATTTAAATCTCAGGTGAATTCATCAAACAAATGGCTTTTAGTTTGTTTTTGTGTGTCTGTGTTTTTTCCCTCTTGGTGAATAGAGGACACGTTGGCAGGTTTGACAACTCAAACCTTTAAAAGAGAGGTGAACACCAACCATTTTCTGACTCATGCACTCTATTCAAAAATAAATCTGGTTTCCAGCATGAGGCCCATTCGCTTTTTTCTGACAATATTAAGGTTGCTGCTCCTTCTCACTCTGAACATCTGCGACTCCATCTCTTTAGTGCTGTGATTTTTTTGATTTGACTGCAAGTTGTCGTTCTAATCCAACAGACATGGCACCAGGAACAGAAATGAGTTCCAGGAAAAAAGAGTCTGGTGCCTCAGAGGAAGAAAACAGATTTGTGATAGAGAAACATCCTAAGGACATGACAGAAAGACCAACTTTCTTTCAATGTTTTTGCCTATTTTTACCTTGTGACAAGTTGTGCTAGTAACCTACTGTTCAAGAAAAACCACAAGCTGTGATTTATATCTGGTTAACACAAGCCGATATGCTTCTGTGGAAAACTGAAATCAGAAAAAGCTGAGATTTTAAGTAATCTGTAAAATATGCGAGTGGAAGTGTGTGACAGGAAGTCTAAGTATACAAAAGAAACACACTCCATGCAAAATCACTCAAATGTTAAAGAATAAAAATGTATATTTCACACAGGAATTTCTGAAGAACTTTGACATCCCAGGATGCTGCCTGGCTTGAAATCAACAGAACATCTTTTGGGGTTTTAAAGATAAAAATAGAGCAACACAGCACCTCCAGCAAATAAGAGCTGGAAAAAAAAGAAGTTTCTGAAGAATGGAAGAACATCCCTCCAGAAACCTATGCAGCACACCCTCATGTCGAGGACAACTAAGTCTGCCATCAATAATAAATGTGCACATGCAAAGGAAAAAAGTGCACTGCCTTCTGAGGTCCTACTACAGAGTTTCTATTTTTAACACAATAATAATGAAGTTTCAGTTTTCAGTCTAACGTAAGAGCAGATCTGACCTTCATGAAGGTCAGACACTTAAATGCACTGGTCTCACGATAATGTTTTCTATGGTGGTGTTTAGATTTACTTTCACTAATATGTGCACCTTGAAAACAGATCAAAGTTATCCTCATTTGGAACTTTCACTTAAAAGTAAATTGGGGGCACAGAATGTGTCAAGAACAAGGGACAGGGATCTGCATGAAAGAACAATTCATTATGTATTGTGTACAAAAGTACTGAGCCATCTCCACATTACACCTACAGGAGCTGCTCAGCCATGGGAACTAATGCCACGAAGCTCCGGGTGCACCATTTTTGTGCTGAGACACCTCTGTTGTTTTTCAGTGAGCTCTTTAGAGCGACCCATTCTCTCAAAAATGCTTGTAAAAGCAGACATCATGGCTAGATGCTTGATTTTATACATCTGTGGAAATGGGACTGAAAGAACACCTGAATTCAAAGATGAAGAGGTGTAACACAGTACGTTTAACCATAAAGTGTATGTGATAATAAATAAACACAGTGTAGAAAAAAAATCTGGCTTGATTTTGATGCTCATGTGCAGCAATACGCCATGCAGATGGTGTTACATGAAAAATGGCACTCCTCCAAGGTTTAAACTTTTTTCAAGTTGAAAAAGTGCTTAGCAAAATGGTAAAACTGCTCCTTCTAATAGCCTCTTTCACGGAGCGAATGTTTAACCATCACAAATAAAGTTTTTTTTAACAAAAAAATCTTTTAATACTATTAGGTAGCTATATTAGTAATGATGTCTTTTCTAATATGTAAAATAATAAAAAAGTAACAAAACATATAAAAACTTGAAGTACAAGTACATTAAAACTGTACTTGAGTAAATGGACAAAGTTACATTCCACCACTGGCCCGATCCATGCCCCTGACCCTCCTGATTGGTGTGAGTGTTCCTACACGTCCCTGCAGTCATGCGTGGGTGAGTAATGCTTATTTTATTATACTATTTTCTGGTCTATTCGCAATGAAGCACTGGTGGCCTTGCAGTACAGTGGCTGCATAGCCATACTGTATGAAGAGGAATTTTATAGGCTTCTTGCATGCTGGGCTTCTACAGATGTGTGTGCATCTGCAAGGAAATAAAATCTGTGGTGCAACTGCCTGTGGTTGTAATTGTATGCTATAGGAGGTGTTTGTCACTAAAACTGAGGTTAGTGGAAGTGTATGTGACTGGATGCTTATTCTACTGGGTTTGTGAGTGACGAGATGGCACTCAGCGCATGTTAATCAAAGTGTTTGTAAGTGCGAATCTAAGTGGCTACATTCTCTCAGCTCCTCAGGTCAAATGTAATTTTTCCCTCTCATACTGAACGGTCTACTCTCACCTTCTCTTTACCTCTCTCACCCTGCCTCTCTCTCCTTCTCTGTCTGTCACGGTCTGTTTATTTCCGTCTTCACCACTCACTCTCACTCCCCGTTTTGCTGTCTTTCTCTGTGTCTTTCGTCCCATCACCGCGCCCACATTTCTCTAGCCTCAATTTAACCTCTCTGCATTTTCTCCTCTCTCTCTCTCTCTGGGTCTGAGTCTCTCTACCAGTCAGCTCTGGGCTGTTTCTCTGGTGGATCGCCGTTCTAATTAGCTATCATCCCTCTACTTCCTGCCTTCTGACACACAAACACGCACGCACACATACGTATGCACACTCTCAAGTGGGACATGTAACAACACTGTGTGTGCGTGTGTGTGTCTCGGTACAAAAGTTTAAAAGTTACATGAAAGAGATCCGCTTTAGTGACTCAGCTAAAAAACACAAACAAAACATACACAGTGACTGGTGTGTGTGTGTGTGTGTGTGTGGTTTCAGTCCTTTAATTTAAGTCTCAAGGACTCCAGCTTTAAACACCTGCCTGTGCGCTTTTTGTGTTCAATTGTCTTCATCATTAGCCACAAACCTCCGTTCTTCCTTCCTTCCTTTAATTCCTCCTTTCAAACTGTTCCTTTCCCTATTTTGGTTTTGCTTCCTTTGTTCCCTTCCTTATTTCTGTTTGCTTTTTCTTTCCTGCCATTTAGCCTTCCTTCCTTTCCACATTGTTCTTTATTCCTTTTTCTTCATTCATCCTTTTCTATTTAGTTCCCCAAGCTACCTTATTTATTTCCTTGTTAATGTCCTCTTTCCATTTCGCCCATTTATGCATGTTTGTTATTCATTCCTTCTTTACATCATCCATCTTTTTTTCCTTCCTTCATATAGCTCCCCTCCTTCCTTCCTTCCCTCCCCTCCCAATTCTTTCTTCCTTTCTTTTATCCATACCATTTCGATAAATTTATTCTTTGTTTGCTTCCTACTATTTAGCATTCCTTCCTTTCATTCACTGCTTCCTTCCTTCCTACCGTCCTTCCTTCATTGCGTGTCCCATTTACACCTACCTGCATGCATTCTTTCCTTTTCCTATTGTTTCTTCCTCACTTTTCTTATTCTTTCCTTCCTACACCTGCCCTCCTTCTTTCTTTCTCTCCTTTCTTCCATGCCACATTACACTTTCCTCCCTGCCCATATCTTTTTCCTTCATTCCTTTCCCCTGCCTTCTTTACCTGTTTCCTTCCTTTTTTCCTATCCTTAATTCCTTCCTTCTTTCTTTTTCTTTTCTTCTTTTCATGCCCCGACGGGCTTTCTTTTCCTTCCCTATTCTTTCTTCCTTTCTTCCAATCTTCCTTTCTTTTCTATACCTTGCTTTCTTCCTTCTTTCTCTCCTTTCTTTGATGTCCCTATTATATTTTCCTTCCCATATCCTTTGTTCCTTCATTTCTTTCCCATTCTCCTCTCCTAACTTCCTCTATGTATTTCTATCATTCTATTTTCTCTATCCTTACATCCTTCACCTCTGTCATTCTTTCTCTCCACTTTCCTCATTTTTTTAAACATTGTTTTCCATCTTTCCTCCATCAGTTTTGCTGATAAAGATCTTTTTGTTTGCTCTTCCTCTTGCTTTACCTCCAAACCCCTCTCCCCAGTGTACTGAGAGTGTCTCCATAAAGAGCACACGTGCAGGAGAGTACGCTCCTGTCCGTCAGAGTCACATCCAGTTAACAATCCAGAAGAGCAACAACTTTCTCCCCAGATTCCCTCAGCTGGCACATCTATTGTATCTGAAGTTTTTGTCTCGTTTGGTGACAGCACATCCTCTTCTGCTGCTGCTGCCACAGGGGAGCTTACTGCTGAGGTATAAAAATATGCAGACTCCTAGAAGCCTGAGCCTCACTCATAAAGCCTAAAATGGGGCGGACTGTTCTTCAGGTGAGGAATTAAGTGAACAAATGCACAAAGACTCTTGAATCCTGTGACAAGATTTATTTTGATTTATTGTGTTTACATTTTGCTCTGGGCTTTTGTTGATGTACGCTGTGTGCTGCAGCGACGTGTTATATGATGAACGGCTGCCCTACGAGGTCATTTGTTTGTTCTTTTTCTTTTCTTTACCTTTTTCTCCTTTCACATCCACATTTTTTCCTCCCTTCATTCTCTTTCTTTTATCAGTATTTACTCTTTATTCTTTTATCATCACACATCAACATTTCCTTCAGCCTCCATTTCTCTTCTCTTACTCCTTTAGTCTTTCTCCTCCTGGTTTTAGCCCCTTGTCGCTCCCCTAATTACCTCTCCTTTTACTTCAATTTCCTGTCTCTCCTTTTTCCCCCGCTTTTTGCGCTTCAATGACTAATGGATCAAATAATGCATAATAAGAGCAATGACGAACACTGAGTGAATCATACACCCTAGCACCTGTACATGGTTTTTAATGTCTGATCCTGCCCACGTGTCCAGTAGATTCTATTAATCCAGATGGGATGAACACAAATACACACGCACACACAGATGAACATTTACACATAGGCGCACTTTTGCAGAATTTTCCATGCAGACTGAACAGTTGGTGGGGTGTAATGAGCTAATCTTCTGCAATACCTCTCCCTTAACTTCCTCTCCTCTGTGTCCCTCTGCCTTTCTATTTTCCTCATCTTTTCTTTTTGTCTGTCTAGCTTCACCTTTCCACCTGTGCCTCTCTCCATCGCTCTCTCTCTCTCTCTCAGGTGATTTATTGGTTGTCAGGTCGTTCTGTGCTGCAGGAGCTTCTGGGACGCCGTCAAGGTGCCCAGTGGTCAGGTAATGACAAGAGCGAGTGTGTATGTGTGTCTGTATTTCTAGCTACCTGTCCAAAAAACTGTCAAGCATCTGCTCCTGCAGAGTGTGTGTGTGTGTGTGTGTGTGTTAGTGCGAGTATGTGTGTGTGTATAACAATCATCTTTAGACAAATTTGCCTTCAGATTAATTAACATTTAGATTAATTTATCAGCCATATGATATACGGTTATGACCCGCCAGCAGATACGCACCACCTGTCTTCCTCGACTGTGTGTGTCTGTCTAAGTGTATGCGTGTATGTGCTCAGACCTGTTTGCCATCCGCCATGTTGCAGGGCAGCAGCAGGACCTGGGAGGCAGGGAACGTGGTGGAGACAGACAGGCAGTGCTGCTGCTGTCGGATCTGCTGTCCGTGAGTGTACACCCACTCCTGCAGAGAGGAAGATGGAGTTAATCATTTTTATCTGCTCTGAATTTTGAAATGCTGTGTGTGGGTTTGGTTTTTGAAAGCTGACATTTTCAAGTGCAGCCCCGCCTCTGGTGTTGTTTCTGATAAGCGGTCATGAAGATAAAGTCATTAAAGACAGCACAACAGCGGTAGAGACAGGTGGAAAAGCAACATTAAATTGGTGTGAATTTAATCCTCAACTCCCATTGTTTCTTGCTTTGCACCCGACCTGACTGCAGGGATTTGCTCCCATCTGGCTACAAGAGTATCGGTGAAGCCTGGCTCGCAGTTGGCATTGCAGTTCAGCACAAATGTGCTGAATGAGGAGGAAATTAGGGCTCTATCCAGGCCAGCCATCCACAACAAACTGTGAAAGCCATTTCTTTATAGACCAAACAAACAATGCTGACATGCTTGTCAAAGCAAATGGTTTAAATCGTCTTAATCGTGTTTGATTTTGATATATCTTTATTAGAATTAAAGGGCATTTAACAAACTAGGGATGATCCTGACTTATAACTTTTCATTTCAATATGAAAATACTGAAAAAGTTCCTGCAGCTATTTCTTGCCTTAATAAATATATATAAACAGTCACATGACAAAGAAAGTTTTCACGGGATCCTAAAAGGTAAAAAGAATACTCCGTGATATTTTCCTTCATACTTCAGTCAAATTTGTCTTATAAGGAGAAATCTTGTAGAGAAATGTTGCCTCTTTTTTATGACACTGTTTTACTTCATTGATGTTTGCAGGCATTCATTTCTGCTCACCTCTCTTAAGGTCCTGCCACAGCATTTCAGTCGGGCAGAGGTCTGGACCGACTGGGCCATTGCAGGACCTTGATTGTTTTTTTCAGCCATCAGTTGCATATTTGCTGCTGTGTTTATTATCATCGTCCTTTTGCAATGATCCAATTTAAGCCCAGCTTTAGCTGTTGAACAGATGGCCTCACATTTGACTCTAGAATACTTTAGTATAAAGAAAAGTTCATGGCTGATTGCATGGTCCGAGTGATTACAGAGCAGTTTTGCCCAAGCAGTCTTTTTGTCTTCCATTATTCAATTTTCACCAGCTTATCTGAGTCCAGGTCGTAGGAGCAGCGGTCTAAGCAAAGATGCTCAGACCTTCCTCTCCTGTAGAACTGCCTGAAGGGTTTACTGTGAATAATGAGCTAGCAACAGATGCGAAGCTTAAAGTCAGAGTTTTCAATGTCACAAAGATGACACCTGGCTAGATCACCCTGGTAACTATAATGACATATAACCTTGTCTGAAGCAGGCAGTGTTACAAGTTTCAGGTAAAAACAGCTTGAAATGATACATTTTTATGAATTGTGTTTAGAAAGCACTGAAAGAAGTCCTGCTATCAAGTTACAGACTGTGTATCTCATTATCAGCATTATCTTCAAGTATTCAGTTGGTGAAGCAAAAAATGCATGAATAAGTTTTTTTTGTTATGTTGTTTCTTTAAACTGCTGGAATTGTATAAAATAGAGCAAAAAATAGAAAAATCAGTCAATCCATTTGTAGCACATTTATCACCAAGAATAATCAGTCTACAAAAACTAAGCTCCGGCCACAGATACATTTCTTTCAGAAGCCTGTGAGAGAGTATCAGACCTGTGTAGCTCACTGTGTAGCTCACTGTGTAGCTCACTGTGTAGCTCACTGTGCAGCGCATATTGTATAAATGTATCAAGATTAAAGTCAGACAATATATAACTCACAAAGCTCGAACGTCTTGTCCAAAATGATTATATCAGACTCAGTCCGAGTACCTTTTTAAAAAAAAATTTAAATTAGATAGAGAGTTGCAGACAAACATTTATGAGCAATGTTGAAAACAGATACTTAGAAAAACACAAATACTTTTCATAAATCAATGGAATTAGCTTTTTTTTAATGGTCATCAAGACATGATTAGCAGTTACTACAAATGTCTGCAGTCTGCAGGGAACTGCTGTACTTTAATTGTCTTAGTTACTAGTTAATTAACAGATTACCATTTTATATTCAACACGCATGAAAATTGCTACTCAACAGTCAGCTTTATATTAAATATAATTAATCATGAATAGTATTAAGTATAAAATCATTAGATATCACCTTACATTAGATCAGCTTCATTGAGGAAATTGTACATACAGATGAATGTATATCATTAAGAAAAAAATACTAGATTTTACATTGGTACAACATTCAGGGCCACATTTCCAAATTATGAGTGATTTTGTGTTTACAGCCATTAACATGAAATTTTCAGCTCTGTACTTGTGATCTGTACTGGAGCTTTGTTGCTTTTACCTAAACTCCAAACACTTCTTTTTTGTTTGGCATTTTAACTTAATGGATTACTCTATTCTCAGATTAGCTTTTCATTAATTTTCTGTTGACTTGCTTTTCAGTTAATCATTAAATCTTTCAGTGAATAAGTAATGTGTTTTTTAAACTCCCCCCCCCCTTCATTTCATATTCAAACATTATTAACATAATCATACTGCTATAAGTCTGCTGACTTGACCTTATAGAATAATGGAGGTCGAGAGTCAGATGGCAGAACAGTGGGAGGTCTTTTCAAACCAGCTGGGTGATTTATGACATTTTATCTTAAATATCTCAACGCTGCGGGGTGTATTTCATCACATGATTGATTTATTGAACTGCAGCAAAGAGAATGACATTAGAAGTTAATTGGTCCTGCAGCTCAGTACATCTTCTCTCTACTGGAACGTCCCAGGATTCGTACTTAAGAGTCAGTGTTCAACAATATAAAACCAGTAACCTCACCACTGCTCAGGCTGGGATGTAACTAACACACCTGTTTTCCAATGAGAATTTTAAAGCATTTTTAAATCCGTCAAGATCATTGTTGTTATTACTGTAATAATAACAATAATAAAAATTTGAGCACATTTCTATTATAATTTTCGTAGATGCATATTAAATAGCTGGGCCTGAGGATTCTGCCTGCTTTTTCTGTTTCAGCTTCTGGTGAAAATGTCTTTATTTAAGTAAAGAAAGACACGAAAATCAGGCACTGACTCACACTTCAATATTTCCTGGAATATAAGGCAGTGTGGCCCTCACGGGGGTCCTGCATTACTTTCAAATAATTCCTAACGTTTATAATCTCTTGGCCTCGCTGCTGACTCATGCCTTATTCTTCTGTTTTCTTTTGAATTTGCCTGGTTTCAGACGTGAGAAAAGGATTTTTATTATTTCAGTTGTGTTCCAACAAGATTCGACTTTCTGCACAATCCTGACATGTCACGTATGCGTATCTCGGGAATATTTTTAGAAAGTCACCGCCTGCATGTAAACACGTTAGGCAGAGGTTGAAGCGGACTGCTAACTGTGATGGGAATCAGGCTGCGGGTAAACACGCTCACTGGTTATGCTGTTAAACATTAAGCAGGTCAGCACTGAAACAAGGTCTGCATGCTCAGCACAAGTGTTCCCCGGATAGCTAAAAGGTTAAAAGCAAAGTGGACTTTGGCTCAAAATAATGATGACACCTGCAGCTCTGTGTACAAAGCTGTGAGTGTAAGCTTTATTCTTTCCTGAAAAAAAAGAAAAAAGAAAGTTGCCCGAACTACTTTCTATTTGTGTGCACATTCAGAGTCGACAGCAGAAATGATTAAAGTACAACTTCATGCCTGTGCACTCATTACATTTGGAGCAAATTGTGTTTAAATTCATGGTTTTGTGGCTCAGTGGGTTGGATTTCATACCCATCATTCTTGTACCTCATCTTACATTTCTGCTATGTTATACACAGTTGTCCACCTCCCATTAATACACTCATATAATGCATTTGAATCCTTGCTTTGCAGGATTCAGTTCTAGTTTCTGCTGCTGTGGGTTTATAAAATGGTCTCTCTGCCTCTGCTATTGATTTTTATTTCCTTGTATGTGAAAGTTGGTGCAAAATGGTAGGTTTAAAGACATTTCTTTTTTTTTTTTCTGATGGACCGAAGCTTCAGATTTTTAAGCTTCAGAATGGCTATTTTTTGTTCTTACATTGCATTATTTACACTATTAATGTCCCATATTTGATATTCCATTATTATTTCATTACTTATGCCAAAAAACTTCTCGTCAACTTTCGAGTTGATGTCCTGTGGGAGAGCTTTGTTTTCACTTGCTATTTTGAATTGCTTTTCACTTCATGTTTGGCTGCCTGCGCTGGTAATCCAGCATCCTCATCTAACAAATTGGAAGAGAGACCAGGGGACACCCCGAGTCCAAAGTGAGACAAACAAAGACATTTACAAACTTCTTCACCCTCATTCGACAATAAAGAACCACTGAAAGGTTTGGACAGGCTAAGAGGATCCAAACTATTGACTAGTACTGGATATCAGCTGGTGGAACCATTCTGGCCTCTGCTATGTTACTCAAACACTAACACAGGTTTTGCTACTATTTAGGAAATTACTATTCAAATTAAGATGTGTGGGCTTACAAAACATTTGCATGACTGACTCGTAGCAATCTTCGATAAGTCTGAAAGTAGACCCCACTTTACCACGTCACTGGAAATGTGAGTAATAGCTACAAAATGGACGTTACATTAAATAAGATTCCTAACTGTGATGGAGAGCATAAATCCATAAGGAAAGGTTTACAAAGTTTCAAATAAAATCGACACAAATGTCATTTTCTCAAAGATTTCTATACAATCTTTCTGAAACAGATGAATGAGCCATCCTCTGCTGCCCATGAATCCTCGTGGGTCTTACTCACTTCTTCCCTATTTTCAATTCACCTGGTCTTGTTTAAAAATGTCTGTAAAAACTCTACATCATAATGCACAAAATATTAATAGTCTTGAGTCACTCTCCTCTCTTTCCATTTTGCTTCCATAGAAAAAGATTTTTAATTTTTTAAAATGATTTTGAGCAACAGTTCTCCAGGATTTCCTGGGGGGAATCAGTGTTAAACCACTTAACACTGACTGAATGGTGAATAATTCAAGCATAAAAAAGACAACCAACTCAGGGATTAACCAGGGTTTTGTATACATGCAACAGACAACAACATCCTGTGGCAAAACACATAATTTGCTCACACGTCTTTAA